TCTCACTGTCTCTCTGGATCTCTCTCTGGGTCTCACTGTCTGTCTCTCTCTGGGTCTCTCACTGTCTCTGGGTCTCTTGTCATCTCTCTGTATCTCTCTTTGGGTCTCACTGTCTCTCTCTGGGTCTCACTGTCTCTCTGGATCTCACTGTCTCTCTGTATCTCTCTCTGGGTCTCACTGTCTCTCTGGATCTCTCTCCCTGGGTCTCACTGTCTGTCTCTCTCTGGGTCTCTCACCATCTCCCTGTATTTCTCTCTGGGTCTCATACTCTGTCTCTTTCTGAGTCTCTCACTGTCTCTCTTGTCTCTGACGACGGGCATACCACTGAGCCCCAGGGACAGCACGCCGAAGCGAGAGACAGGGAGAGAGGAAGGAGTCCCCGAGTCGCCAGGTCCGGCCGGAGATCGAGGAGGCGCCCTCGGGCCCGCCGCCCCCACCCGGCCCCGCCGCCCCCACCCGGCCCCGCCGCCCCGCGCGTGTTTGTCCAGGGCAGGCCGCATTGATCCGCCGCGGCCGCGCCACCGTCTGATAAATCCCGGCCGCGGTAATGAACCTCCCCGCACACCGCTCACAAAGCACACACTAGCCCTGGCCCCAGCGGTTAATATTTAACTGAATAAGGGCCATAAATATGGAAAATGGGACTTTTAATTAAATAAGCAGCTTTTAAAAGGGCCCTTGGGCGGGAGAGGCTTTTGTTTAAATATGATTGATTTGACATGTCCTTTCGCTCTCACACTCTCCCGAGCTCCCTTCCGACGTTAACTCTTGGCCCCGGGCCCTGGCCGCAAGTTGGCGAGGCCAGACCCTGTCCTGCTGGAGGGAGGGGGCTCCCAGCTGGAGGAAGCGGGGTATGGTGGGGGACGGGAAGGAGGTGCCCTGGGGACTGCGATGGAAAACCCAGCTGCCCTGGCCTCTTGCATTTGGCTTCACCCCCTTTGCAAGCTGCCTCCATCTCGCAGGATGTGTATTTCCTCCTAAAAGAAGGGGCCAGTGGGGTCAGATGCCTCCAGATCCAGGGGCATAGTTTCCCTTTTAAAAGCCACGCCACCAGTTGCCTGTTCTTTGGTGGCTCAGCTGGTGGTCGGTTTCTTTGTGCCTCAGTTTCCCCATCTGTAAGAGGAGGATAACATAGCACCTACTCCACAGGGCTGTGTTCAGATTCAGGGTGTCCTAGACCATGGGAGGTCCCACAGCGTTTCCCCAGATTCCAGCCCAAGGCTGTGTGGCTGCTGCCAGGCCCAGGCAGCTTGATGGGCACATTCCGGTACTTAGTGCTGACCCCTCATTTGCATTTTGCACGGAGCCCTGAAAAGGAAGTAGCTGGTTCTACCCATCCTCACCCAGAGACTCAGTCTTGGCGGCTTATGACTCATTTGAGGAGCTTGGAATGCTCCAATTTCAGATCGGGAAGAATTCAGCAGTCAGGGTGGTCTGTCTTCTGCCCTCAAGCTAATGGTCTTTACCTTTCAAAACTTTTCAAAAAAAAAAAAAAAAGAAAGAAAGAAAGAAACCATGTCCTATTATAAATTTAATTAATATTTATGAAGCACCTTCCATATGCCAGCTTCTGCGCATGCCTCACCTCAGAGCCCTGTCATCTGCCCTACTTCCTGGGTGAGGAGGGATCTGATGCCCAGAGAAGCCAAGTAACCAGTCTAGAGTTGCCCAGCGAAGCAGCAGCTGGCATTTGAACCCAGGCTGTTTTGCCTCCAGTGCCTTAAGCCCGCTGTGGGCCTAGCCTGGTGCACTGCAGGTCCGTGCCCTGGGACTCATGTCCGATCTGGTCCTGGCTTCTCTGAGCTGACGTAGAAGTCACTTCCCTGGATAATTCTGACATCCTCCCTACCTAAGGAGGGGGATGATGGTGGTCACACAGCCTCCTAATTTATCAAGACTCTGCCTCCTGTGCCCAACTGCCATTTCTTCCTCTCCCCAAGTCAGATAAGTTAGTTTTTGCTTATTCCCACTCACAGGCTGCCTCTTCCAGGAAGTTTTCCCAGATGCACCCTGCTTGTTATGGTGGATCCCTTTTCTAATTCTTCCAGTATTTGTGAGCATAATGAGTATCTGACTATGTTCTATTGTACTGTAATTTCCAGTAACCATTCATTCACATGGTCAATTACCATTTATTAATGACCTATTATTTTATTTCTCCAGTTTGAAGATGAACTATTTTTTTTCTTTTTAACATTTTGAAACTGGGATCTAGTACATATATAACACCCGTTCTTATTTGCTGCAGCACTTTGGAAGGCTGAGGCGGGCAGATCACCTGAGGTCAGGAGTTTGAGACCAGCCTGACCAACATGGTGAAACCCTGTCTCTACTAATAATACAAAAATTAGCCAGCCATGGTGGTGTGTGCCTATAATCCCACCTACTCAGGAGGCTGAGGCATGAGAATCGCTTGAACTCGGGAGGCGGAGGTTGCAGTGAGCCGAGATCACACCACTGCACTCCAGCCTAGGTGACAGAGGGAGACTCCTTCTTAAAAAAGAAAAAGAAAGAGAAATACTCTAAATGGATGGTCCCTTTTATAATGGATGGCATTTCCAGACTGTGGAAATAAAAGTTTGTGCCTAGCCCTGTGCCGGGTGTTGGAAGGATTGGGGGAAATCAGACAGACTTTTACTTTTCTTTCTGCTCCCTGAAAACTTACTGTCTAGTGCAGAGTGTATTAAGAAAGCACCCTTCTTTCAGGCTGAATGCGGTGGCTCATGCCTGTAATCCCAGCATTTTGGAAGGCCGACGTGAGTGGATCATGAGGTCAGGAGATCAAAACCAGCCTGGCCAAGATGGTGAAACTCTGTCTCTACTGAAAATACAGAAATTAGCCAGGAGTGGTGGCATGTGCCTGTAATCCCAGCTACTCGGGAGGCTGAGGCACAGATTTGTTTAAACCCAGGAGGAAGAGGTTGCAATGGGCCGAGATAGCACCATTGCACTCCAGCCAGGGAGACAGAGCGAGACCCAGACCCAAAAAAAAAAAAAAAAAAAAAAAAAGAAAGCACCCTTCTTTCTAATTCCCAAAACTCTCAATTCTCACTTGTTCACTCTTTTACACTTTTACTTGATCCTCTGAATTCTCGTAGCTCTGTAGCAAAGAATGTTCCTCTCTTCCCAGGAATGGGGTGAATTTAGTGAGGGGAGGAAGTTATGGACAGTAAGTGTTTATGTTCCGCCAGGCCCTGTCCTAACATTTATTATGTATTATCTCATTTAATCCTCACCATGACCTAATAAGGTGAGTGCTGCTGTAATCACTTCCAGTTTGCAGATGATGAAAGGAGGCTCAGAGACTAAGTAATTGGCCCAAGGCCACACAGCCAGAGTGACAGAATCGGAGTCAAATCCAGGCAGGTCTGGCTCCAGAGGCCTCCCCCTTAACCTCAGTTCTTTCGACCCTTCCTTCATTCTCCCCCACTGCACCTATAAGCCCCAAGCCCATTGCAAAGGAGGTTCAGCCAGGTGTGAATCCAGGGTTCAGAAGCTCATCTTCCATCAGCGGCACAGGAGGGAGACAGCCCCGAGGAGAAAATGGAAGCAGACGGTCTCCCAGAGGGGCTGTAATAAAAGGCATCATACAGAGAAAGCTGGAAGAGCCAGAGAGCTCCATCAGGAGGTTGGCCTGGCGCTTGTGTCTAGTGACTAGCCTTAGGAGACCTCTCCTTTGGCAGGATGTCCAGGGCCAAGTCTCCAGGGCCAGCTGCAAGGACAGTTTATGGTTCATGTATCCCACTACAGGGGCAGCCAGTGGGCTGGGGATGGTCAGCAAAACTCCCCATCTCTCTCTGTGCCATGACATCTGTTGCCATGGTAACTCCTCTCAGGCATCACCTGATTCTGGGTCTGTTTCCTGGGCTCAGTGTTAGGGTAGGTAGGGCTGAGGCTGGTTTTGGGGCCGAGGCACAGGGCTGGTGTTGGTGTTGGGGAAAAGGCACAAGGCCATCGCTCGTGCAGACCACCCACAGCAGTGGCAGGGGGTCGGGGAGCACTGAGCAAGGCATCTGTATTCCTTCATTGTAAGCCCAGAGCAACGGGACAAAATCCCGTGTTGAGTACATTTGAGAAGAGACCTCCTCCCTAGAGAATCTCCTCCCTACACCCCTCAGGCTAAATGGTTGGGACCCTGTACCTTGCACCTCCCCAGTGACTGTCCTGCCGGCTCCGTTTCTCACCAGCACTCAGGTGGAGTCACTATCATCTCCTCATGGACCGTTGTCCTCCTAACGGGTCCCTGTCTGGCAATCTGTCCCCACAGATCCATCCAAACAGGTGAGCTTGATTTATCTATTTATATAGAAACAAGGTCTCACTTTGTCGCCCAGGCTGGAGTGCAGTGGCACCATCATAGTTCATTGTAACCTTGAATTCCTGAACTCCGTGATCCTCCTGCCTCAGCCTCCCATGTAGCTAGGACTGCAGGCTTGTGCCATCACACTTGGCTAATTATTTTTGTAGAAATGGGGGATCTTGCTTGCTGCCCAGGCTGGTCTCGAACTCCTGGCCTCAAGCCATCCGCCTCTCACTTTTGAGCAGCTGGGACTATAGGCATGCACTGCCATGACAAGCTAATTAATTTTTTTTTGAGAGACAGGATTTTGCTACATTGTCCTGGTTAATCTTGGCCTCAAGCGAATCTCCCACCATGGCCTCCCAAAGCGCTGGGATTAAGGGCATGAACCTCCGCACCTGGCCACAGGTGTGTTTTCTGGAGCCACAGGCCTCCACTTGCCCGGTCCCTCCCTACTCCTTCCCCAAACACTGGCCCATCCAGGCCTCCCTCCACTCTCTCCAGGCCACATCCATGCCATGGGCAACGTGACGCCCGTCAGGTCCAGGAAACACTGGAAATCAGTGAAGCAGGGAGCAAAGGTCAGGGTGAGGCCAACTCTTTTTGGTGTCAAAGGAGATTACGCGTCCGGCTCTCAGAGTCGAGGGCTGGGCCAAAATCAGCCTGTGATCCCAAGTGGGATGAGTTCAGAGGTCACCAGCTGGCTTCTTTGTGTGTCAATATTAACATGAGAGTCACCTAATTGGGGTGGGTCAGCCAGTGGCCAGAGCCAGGACACACATCAGAAGAGAAAGGGCCCAATCATGCCCTGGCAGTGTTGGGTGCTTGACATAAGCCAGCTTATTCATTATATTAATATTACCGCTAATAAAACTAATACAGGAGCAGCAGGAGGACAGCGGTAGCCACATACATTGCGTGTCCATTAAACTCAGGCTTGGTGGCTGGCACTTCATTCATTAAATAGCCTAATCATTCCAACCTCTCTAAGAATTAGATTCTGTTGCTACCTTATCCTACAGCCAAGGAAACTGAGGCAGGAAATGGTAAACTAGTGGGCTGTGTTCACACAGGTGAATGGAGGAGCAGAGACTTGGACCCAGCCAGTGTCTCGCAACACAGGAATGACATCTCCGTTTTATTGATGAGGAAACCGAGATGGATCAAGGCTGTCTAAAGCTGCACAGCTAGTCAGTGACAGAGCGCAATTACAAACCCAGGGAGGTCTTCTCCAGAGCTCATAATATCCTTATTTTATTTTATTCTTTTCCTGTTTCAATAAAAGAATAAAAGGCTGGAGTGCCTTTCATATCTCAAATGCTCAGTAGCCTCATCTATAAAATGGGAATATTAACATCCCCCTCACAGTGCAGATGCAACGGGAAAATATGTGTGAAGCCTTTGCACATGCTGTTCCTTCTGCACAGAATGCTTTTCCTTGTTAAACTTGGCATCTTCTTTGTTAACCTAGCATCTAACCCGCACTCTAGGCTGGAGTACAGTGGCATGATCATGGCTCACTGCAGCCTTGAACTCCTGGGCTCGAGTGATCCTTCCGCCTCAGTCTCCTGAGTAGCTGAGACTACAGGTGTGTGCCACCAGTCCTGGCTAATTTTTAAATTTTTTTGTAGAGACAGGAGTCTCACTATGTTGCCCAGGTTTGTCTTAACTCCTGGCTTCAAATGATCCTCCTATCTAGGCCTCCTGAGTCACTGGGATTACAAGTATGAGCCACCACACCCAGCCTTCATCTCGTTCCTTTTAAGCTCATCTCTTCTATGGGTTCTCTGAGGGCCACTTGTCCTGTGTGCCACTGTTCCTGCCTTCCTGGACCTAAGGGAACAGTGGCTGTCCATTGGCTGATGGATGAAGACCTGCCATCTGCACGGCTCAGGCGAGCCATATAGAGACCAACACTCCCCTCCGTTGGTTTTGGGTCAAATGAACCCATGTGGACACTTGCTGGAATCATAGTAACTTCAGACACTCACTTCTATGTAGGCTGAGTCCAAAGAAACTCTACTTATCAAAAACTTTTTAAAATTTTTAACGTTTATCTTTACAGACAAGATCTTGCTCTGTCGCCCAGGCTGGAGTGCAGTGGCAGGATCCTAGCTCACTGCAGCCTCGAACTCCTGGGCTCTAGCCATCCTCCTACCTCAGCCTCTCAAGTAGCTACGACTACAGGGATGCACCACCACGCCCAGCTAATTTTTAAATTTTTTTGTAGAGATAGGGGTCTCACTATGTTGCCCAGGTGGGTCTCACCCTCCTGGGTTCAAGGAATCCTGCCATGGCCTCCCAAATCACTGGGATTATAGGCCTGAGCACCCAACCTCCTAGAACTTTTGAATAGAGTCTCGTGCAGCAGCAGTTAACACATTGACCATTTCTCAAAGACCTGCTCTGTGCAGGGTACTGAAGACCTAGTGGTGAGCAGAAACTGACACTTCCCTGTCCCCATGAAACTCACATTCCAGCGGGGGAGGTGGAGAGTAATCATGCCTAGAATGACACATTGATTCTGTGATGAAAGTTCCCAAGAATGGGACAATTTAATGGAGCAACCGGACTTGGCCAACGAGGTTAGAGAGAGAGCCCTGACAAAAGGGCTCCTGTGCTGAGACTCTGAAGATGAATAGATGCTAAGTCAGCAAAGAAGAGAAGGGATAGCATTCTATGCAGAAGGAACAGCGTATGCAAAGGTTTAACACATTTTCCTGTTTCATCTGCACTGTGAGGGGAGATATTAATATTCTCATTTTATAGATGAGGCTACTGAGGCTTTGAGAAATGAAAGGCCTGGCCCAAGGGAGAAACTAGCAGAAATTTGATCCAAATCCGCCCGCCTCGGCCTCAGCAGCCTGATGCCACATTTGACACTCTTCCACACTGGTGCTTAGAAATAGCATCAAATGGCCGGGTGCGGTGGCTCACGCCTGTAATCCTAGCACTTTGGGAGGCTGAGGCAGGTGCATCACTTGAATGCAGGAGTTCAAGACCAGCCTGGCCAACATGGTGAAACCCCATCTCTATGAAAAATACAAAAATTAGCAGGTGTGATGGTGCATGCTTGTAATCCCAGCTACTCAGGAGGCTGAGGCAGGAGAATCACCTGAACCTGGGAGGCGGAGGTTGCGATGAGCCCAGATGGTGCCACTGCACTCCAGCCTGGGTGACAGAGCGAGCCCATACCACACACACACAAAACAAAAACCAAACCAAACCATGGCATCACATGATGATGCGAGGAAAGCTTCCTTTGGGGAAAAAAAGTAATGCAAATAGGCCAGACATTTGTGTCAGACGGAGCTTTTTAAGTTGCTATGGTAGAAACCCAACTCACACTGACTTAAGCGAAAAAAGGAAATTTATTGTCCCATGTAACAAGGATCCAGGAATGTAAGACTTTAGGCTCAGCTGGACCACAAGGCTCAAACAAGATCATCAGGGCTTTGTGAGTGTGTCTCTCTTCCCCTGATCCTGCTTCCTGGGTGTTGGCTTCCTTATCAGGCCCCATATCATGGCCCCTGGAAGTCTCTTGCTCACCCCTTCCTGGCTGTTAGCAGTTGCAGAATATTGAGAGACTCCTCTTTTCCAGCCACTCCAGGGGAATGTCCCTGGGTTGGCTCCCACTGGACCAACCTGGTCATATGCCTATCCCAAAACCAATCAGTGTAGTTAGAGTGCTGAAATGTTCTAATTGGCCAAACCTCAGTGCCTATCCTGGAACCAGTCAATAAGGCCAGGGCCTGGACTCCTTTGGTGGGTGCCTGGTCATGAGTATCTAAAGGTGATTCAGCCTCACCTAAGCTCTTGGACTGAGAATGCAGGAAAATAGGAAGAAGGAATAGGGAATGCTGGAAAGACAAAATAAAAAACAAAACAAACAACAACAACGACAACAAAAACCCATGGCTGGACCCCCAAAAATCTCAAAATAGAAAAGTCATCCAGGCAGCTGACTGGCTCAGGCCTGCAATCCCAGCACTTTGGGAGGCCAAGGCAGGTGAACCACTTGAGATCAGGAGTTTGAGACCAGCCTGGCCAACAAGGTGAAACCCCGTCTCTAAAAAAAAAAAAAAAAAAATTAGCTGGGCATGGTAGCATATGTCTGTAATCCTAGCTACTTGGGAGGCTGAGGCATGAGAATTGCTTGAACCAGGGAGGCAGAGTTTGCAGTTGCATCGAGCCAAGATGGTGCCACTGCACCCCAGCTTGGATGACAGGATAAAACTGTTTAAAAAAAAAAAAAAAAGGAAAAGAAAAGAGCCAGGCATAGTGGCTCACGCCTATAATCCCAGCACTTTGGGAGGCCGAGGCAGGCAGATCACAAGGTCAGGAAATGGAGACCATCCTGGCTAACATGGTGAAACCCTGTCTCTACTAAAAATACAAAAAAATTAGCCAGGTATGGTGGCGGGCGCCTGTAATCCCAGCTACTTGGGAAGCTAAGGCAGGAGAATCGCTTGAAACTGGGATGTGGAGGTTGTAGTGGGCCAAGATCGTGCCACTGCACTCCAGCCTGGGCAACAGAGTAAGACTGTCTCAAAAGAAAGAAAGAGACAGACAGACAGAAAGAAAGAAAGAAAGAGCAAGCAAGCGTGGGTTTTACTGAACACAGGGATGCCCATGAAGACAATGTAACTTGCTCCTCATGAGGGCTCTGTGCAGCTACACCCCAGGTAGTCATAGCATCATTTAATTTCCCAAACTTTTATGGCTGAATCTTCCATTTTTATCTCATGCCCCTGGTTTATCCCAGTTTCTGCTGGAAATGAAGATGCCCCCTACTTCTGAAACTGTCAATTCTCCCTCTGGACGTTTTCTTTACCTCATCTGGAAACTGGAGATCATTCTAATACCAACCTTACAGACTTCAGCGGTCGTGTAAATAAATAAATTTAGCCCAATACATAGGCACTTAGCATTATGTCAGTGTTAGTGTTATGAGCTTTATCATGCCCATTTTTGCAGACACACAACCCGAGGCTGAGAAAGAAGGCACAGCTTGCTTTAGGCCACCTAATGGGTGGCGGACTCAGACATGCCAGATGTGGGTCTCAAAGCCTCAGCTTTGTCATCTCACATCTGGAAGAGCAAATCTATGCTGTTTGTTGCAGTTTTACTGTCAGCTGCTTGGGCCAATTCGTAGAATGGATGAATTTATGCACGCCTCATTTTAATCAAAATTCTGATGAGAAGATCCCTTAGACATGAATTCATCCACAAATGGGTAAGCCGAGGGAATGTATCCATCACTAGAAATTAATCATGTTTTCTACTGTGCCCTACATGAGAATCAGAATCATCAGGTCTAGCAGGTAACTGGGATGGAAGGACAAGGCAGAGATGCGAAGGAGACATCCCATGTAAGGCACTTTCAAAAAACTGCTCTAAGTGCTTCTAAAGGCTATTACAGTGGCTACTCTTTCTTGAGTACCTACTATGTACAAAGTGCATTCACACAATCTCATCAAATCTTCTGACAGCCATCGGAGGGAGGTACTATCACGCTCATTTTAGAGATGAGGAAACAGGTTGAGAGGAGTCAGGTGACTTGTGCAAAGTTGCAGTTATGTGGTAGAGCCAAGATCGGAACTCAGGTCTGACTCCAACTGATTCAGGAATCAATGTCATCACCATGACCCTCCATCTTCTCTTAGGATGTCCTGTGGTTAACATAGCTGGTTCTTGATTGATTGATGCTTAACTGGTTTCTGGTTTTTCATCAGGGCTGGGCATTTGCCCGACTCCAAGAATGGACCTTTCCTTAAAGTTTGGGCCTTTGGCACCTCACTTACCTCACCTGGTCCCAGTCCCGTTCTTCGTTTTTGGAATAACAGGAAATATGTTGATTCAACAAGTATTTACTGAACACCTGCAGTCTTAAATTAGACTTCCTTTCTAGGAAGAGCCTTAGAGCCTCAGGATTCACAAGAAGTCTTCCACGGAGGCTTTGTTTGCAGGAGAAACCCGTGAGAGGTTAGGGAAGCAGGGCAGAGCAGAAGAATCTGGACAGACATGATTGTAACTAGGGTCCAACCGCAGTCGGATCCCATGGGTACCTGCTGGGTGTTACTGGTCTCACAGAGCTGCTCCCAACCCTGAGGCCAAGGGCTGGCCTTTTGTACCACAGCATTGGCTGTGGGTTGCCTTAGGAGCTGCATGTGGCAAAACTTCCTATTCAATGGCAGCTTCCATTACTTCCATTAGCAGAACTCTGGTTCCTTCTCTGGATACGGAAGATGCTGACAGCCTAGAGGACAGTGGGGGACAGGTCCATGAGTAAAGAGATCTGAGTGAGATACCAGCACATCTACTGTATCTACTATGTCTTGGGCACTGTTTGCCGTCATGGTATTACCTACATCATCGAGAGGGACTGTCATTTGCCTAACATTTTAGACACATGGCCAAACTGAATTCTCCCTACAACCCTATGAGGCAGACACAACCCATTTATCAGATGAAAAAGATGAGGCTCAAGGAGATGTTGGTGCCAGAGCTGAGAAAAACACAAAGCCCATCTTCGGTCCCTGAGTCTGGTCCTCAGACCTGGGCAGCTCCCTGCTGTGCTGTCCTCCGCCTTTGAGAAGGTCAGCGGGGAGGCGGAGGCCCAGCCAGCAGCGGGCAAGAGCTGCAGCGGAGGACGGCTTTTTAATAGCCCTGGCATTGGCTGACATTTGGGTTTCACTCTCTGTGAAGTGCACTAATTACTCCTGTTCACTCAGAAGTCCGACTTAACTACTGCTTGGGTTTTATGGAGTGCTTTGGGGTTGCCATTTCTCCAGACCATGATGGTGGCAGGGAGACTTGTCTCTTCCCGAGTCTTCAGTGACAGCTCGCATGTGGACCATTTACAAGCCAGATGCTGCAGGAGCCTCTTTGATCTGTTGTCTCTGTGCCAGGCACATCACACACAGCTCGATCACCCTCCCAACCCTCCTAGGAGGTAGGTTCAACAAATTGACCCCACTTGGCAGATGAGAAAACTGAGGTCCAGAGAGGGTAAATGGTGGTTTCAGCTCCCTGAGCTAGTGGGTCTGACGTCAGAGCCTCGGTGGTCTAGGGCGCTTGGTATCATTGCCTCTCTACAGCCCTCAGCTCCTGCAGAAAGAACTCCTCTCCATACCCGCGCTAGGTCTGCAAGGAAGGTACTGAGAGCACCATTTGGTAGGTGGGGAAACTCAGTCAAGAAGCCTTAGAGTGAAGAGGTTAAAAGCACAAACACCATGGAGCTGGACTCTGGTTGGTAGCCTAGCCTCCCCATGCACCAGCTGCGTAACCAGCTGTGCACCTCCCTGGACCTCTGTTGTTCATCTTTTGGGGGAATGAACAGTAAGGACAATAAATGGATAAAGGAAAGCTCTTGGCATGTGCTGGCAGTCACTAGGTAATGAGTCCGAGGTGAGTCTGGGGCACTGTTTTATGTCCCCGCCTCTCTCCCTCTACTCCCTAGCCAACCCCCACCTTAGCTCCTGAGTCTTTGCCCCAAAAAGCAACTGCTCTTAAGAAACGCTCCCACTTCATCAAGTGTCCTGAGTCCCTGTGACTGGGGACAGCCACAATTTCTGCCTTTGGGGAAAAATATCAGGCAGGGAACAGATAAAGGAGGGGCTTCCAGGGAAAAGGGGGAGGGGCTTCCCAGTCTCGTGTTAGAGACATGTTAGTTTCTCATTACATGTTAGACAAGAAGGAATTGTCATCCAATGGTTCCCTCCCCATGCCCCATTTTATAGGCAGAGAAACTGAAATGGCGTCAACAAGTATTCACTGATGAATGAATGAATGAATGAATGAATGAATGAATGAATCACGTGTGAAAACAGAAGGCAACACCTGCCAAGCCCTGGGCCAGAGGCTGGGACCTGGCAGTGAGCAGAGCTTCCTGGTGAGTCACAGCCTGTGTTCTTCAGACCTTTGGGGATGCCGGTCACTGGTTACGAGGTGGCAGGTGCCTGCAGAGTGGCCCTATATCTAGGACACAGTCTTTGCTCCCAAGGAGTCCATGAATGGCTAGTGGAGACAAAAGACAACCACTCCACGTGGGAAATGGAAAACGGCTGGCTCTCCATACATCTATGGTTTCATGTCTGTGGATTCACCCAAACTTGGATACAGAATACTTGAAAAGGAAAAAAAATACCAATATACAATTTTAAAAATGCAAAAAATACAGTAGAATAACTATTTACAGTGTTTACATTGCATCAGATATTATATGTAATCTAGAGACAATTTACAATATACAAGGATATGTGCAAGTTACATGAAAATACTATTCCATACAGTATATGCCTTATATAAAGGACTTGAGCATTCGTGGATTTTGGTATGTGTGTGGGGGGGGGCGGGCAGAGAGCTGGGTGTCCTGGGATGAATTCCCCATGGATACCGAAGCACCCACTACATGCAGGGCACCACTCTAGGTATTAGGCTCCATCTTCTCAGCGACTCTCCAAGATGGTGTTACCACTCACATTGTACAGATGAGGAAATGAAGGCTCAGAGAGGTTAGGTAAGATGCCTGAAGTCACACAGGACACGGTTGATATGGAATCCAAACCCAATCTCTTTAGGTCCGGAACCGCATGCCTGGGACTGAGGATTGCCCA